TTGGGGGTTAGGTGCACTTTAAGTGTCACTGTATTTAGCACTAATGTGCTAATTGGGGACACTGTAATATACAGCAATATTGTACAGTTATTTGTACAGTAGAAAACCTGTTTGCTGTACAGGTCGGCGCGTGCACGCAAAACTGTCACACTCTCCCTCTTTCACTAATAAATATATTGACTACAGCAGTTGAATAATAAATCTCTTATTAGATGTTTTGGTGTGTAGTATCACTGTATATTTTTACTTGTTGTTTGTATTTTGACTCACCCTACGGGCTCATCAAATTACAACACAATGCGAAAAAATATACAGCAATACTACCCACCAAAACATATAATAAGATATATGTATTCCTTTGTGTGTTGTAGCCAGTGACAGCCTCGCACATCTATTCCTGATTAAGCCATGCCAAAATTGCTTGCTGAATGTGAACATTGTCCTGTATGATTATAATTTTATTATTTGTCATATTAATTAGATTGAAGAGGGACATCACTGAAAGAGAAAGAGATCTTGTTGGTGTTTTGCAGCAGTACAACACTTTTGTGAAACCTGTAAGTATTTGCTTGTCAATAGTCAGAATATATTTTGTAGATCTAGGGAAATTAACTTCCAAGCATTTATTCAGTAAAGTAGATATATTTACTTCTGTCTTTTGTGTTGTGTAATCTAGGCTTTTGATCAGTACATTGCGCCAACGGTTGTGTATGCTGACATTGTTGTGCCAAGAGGTTTGTATCTGTCCTGGTAATTTGGCTTGATTTTTTTTTTGTTGCGGAAATTTCATGTGTTTCTTCTTTATCTTTGTACTTGTTTTCTGCCTAGTCTGGCTGCTATTGTGAATAAGCCCATAAGTCTTGGGAAATAGGATCTTCATACCTGTAACGAATTTGTTACTCTATGGGAGAATTGTATCAACAAGGGCCCATCAAGCATTTTCAGCCGTGACAGGTGCTACGGGTTGTGGCCCTTATTGACAGCCCTACTAGAATGCTGTTACATCAACTTTCACCAACAAGATACATTTGTACCAACTCTACCTTCTCAGTGTTTAATTCAAAGCACATTGTTTTTATCCAATGTGAGATCTTACTGTTTATAGTGGTTTATTTCTTTTTGTATTATCAAGGTGGAGAGAATAATGTTGCAATAGATTTGATTGTACGTCACGTGAGGACGCAACTCGAGCAGGTTAGATTAAGTGTTCAGTCTTTTGGATGTTTTACTTGAACAAAACTTACTATACTTTCCACTCAAAATAATATTTCTTGACCACTTTCTTTCCCATTTAGAGAGGATTCAATTTCAGGTGCGAAAACTGTTTAATGTTCCATTGTCTTTAAAATAATAGTTGTTACATTATGCCATAGTTGAGGCATAGTGGCCTCATGGTTAGTGCACTCCACTCTGGATTGAGTGGTCTAGGTTCAAGTCCTGGCAGGGGACATTGTGTTGTGTTCTTGGGCAAGACACTTTGGTCTCACAGTGCCTCTCTCCACCCAGGTGTACAATTATCGGCAAAGCTCTGGCCTGGTGGGCCATTTGGCTTGTATGCAGACTTTTTACCATTTAACGTTATGCCATAAAAATGGCGAGAGACTGATTAAGACTGTGTCAGATTGCCATCTCTCAGACTGAGCACTCCGAAACACTGAGACAAAATTTAAGATCAGATAGAAACAAAAAATTCCTTGTTCTGGCTCATGTTCTCCATACAAGAAGTAGTAGTCATTGACAGCAGTGGCCAAGAAGAGGTCTTGTGTGTTTGGTTTGCTACAATCTGAAATTTTGATTATCATATTGTTTAATGAGTAACACAGATCAGGTGGATAAGAATGAAAAGGGCTGTTGACTAATGGAAATTGTTTGATATGCTTTTGAACCTACAGCAACATTTACGAAACGTCTTGTCCAGATAGCGAGGGGAATTGGGATAAAAGTTTGAGCTTGGGGCCAAAAGTGAAACCACTAGCTAACTTCGACATTTTTAACTAGTCATGCTGCTGTTTTTCACTCTCTGTTTACAGAGCGCAGCTTCGGTCTGCGCATCAGGGACAGCCACTACCCAGCTCACTGAGTATTTTAGAAAGTACATCACAAGTCAGAGGACTTCATGCAATTATTAGGTTAGATCTGTATAAATGAATACAGTAGGCTCCTTTTGGTACATTATTGTGCCTGTCAATAACTTATTGGCTGCCTGTCAATAACTTATTGGCTGCTGTCAAAAACTTATTGGCTGCTGTCAATCATAATAAATTACAATGACAACCAACGAGCCTTAAAAACAAGAAAGAAACATAATGGAGTGAAATGTAACAACTACAACCCACTACCATGACCCTAGAACCCACTGAAGTAAACTTCTGTTTCCTGGAGTGTGAAATCATTGACTGAACAGAATTCATGTGTTATTGAAAGGTACAATAAAATTCAGTGACGTCCACAGGAAACAAACAGAGGAAATTGAATGTTAAGCATGTATGTTTGTTTTGCTCATTTGTGTCGTATAGACCTTGATGTAAACCTGATTTTTAATGTAGCAAAAGATGCCTTGATTTTGAAGCAATTGTGGCAATAGGTCCCTTACTGAGGTGATTTTATAGTTTTCAAAAGATGGTGGGAATGTGGTGTTCCACTGGAATTAAATGAACACTGGTAAAGTAACAGAGACATAAAAAACAGTGAAATATTAATTACCATTTATTAATGCCTTTGGAGCTTGCTTACCATTTGTCTGTGGTCTGTTTTGTTGTCAGGAATGAGAATGCTAGTAGAGATGATTTTATCTTTTATTCCAAGAGGTTGATGAGAATTCTTATCGAGCATGCACTCTCACTCTTACCTTTTAAAGTAAGTGTAGATTTTCTTTTCTTATTAATCCAGCTATTTTGGGCTCTTCTGCTTTTTTGCATGTTGCAGGGCTGTCATTAAATTTTATGTCTCCTGTTGCTCCTGTTCCATTCTTCAGAGTTCATAATCAAAATAACCAAAACACAAATTTGGAATGGGGTAAAGGATGGTTCAGATACAAAATTAACCTAAATTCAACTTGTGGAACGTACTTAAGTTTCAAACTTTCCAGTATTGGTTTCTTCTTTTAGAGAGATGTTGTCAGAACTATGGAAGGAACAGTTTATGAAGGAAAACGATTTGCAGGAAAAAGGGTAACAAATTGCATCTTTATATTTTGTTGCAAATTTGCAGTAGCTTTAAAAATTAGATAGGTAATTTAAGTAACTAATCTGTGCAACTCTGGCAATGGCGCTAAAGAAAGTTTGTTCTGGACACCAGAGGGAATAACAAGAATAACTTGGAGGAGGTCAGCAGAGAAAGAACTTGAGTCCATGTACCTGACCTGGAAAGAAATCCAAATGGTGGGACAACACTGCTCCTGCTGCAGAGAGACAGTGAAAGCCTAATGCATCCCATGGTGCGATAGGAGTGATGATGAAACTGTTTGTAAATGAACTTGATCCAACTCTTAGGCTGACCAAACATAAACCTTGGATGACCAGCCTCTCGCCTCGTTTTGTAACATTTTAAACCAGTATTTTAGGTTGTAAGACCCATTTGAATGTAATAATTGTAAGAAGTGCCTAACTTCTATTTATAAAACTGTTCACACTTTACTAGTGATTTGGTGGTTAGTTTGTTCTATTCTCGATCAGTGGGTCTGGATTTGTGCTTGAGAGGGACAGTTTTGGAATTGTGAAATTTTGGGGATTTGTTAAAACACTTAAATCTGACAGTGCCTATTAGCCTGTGTTGTTGGCAAGATTTGGTGTGTTAGTGCTTCAGGCTAAGTGCCTTTTGTACTCCATTATTATTTGCACTGCTACAAGTATGCCACAGAAAATTTAAGTATTTGGCCTCTCTAACGAATGATCTGCCCCCTCCCCCTGATGATCAGCATTGGAACAAGCCTAAACCATTTTTTTCTTCTTGTTTAATGTATGTGTGGTTTCTTTGCAGCTGTGCGGTGTGTCAATACTGCGAGCTGGTGAAACCATGGAACCGGCCCTGGAGTCTGTGTGTAAAGATATCAGAATAGGAAAGATTCTCATCCAGACTAATGAAGACACATCAGAACCCGAGGCAAGTGATCAACACCTAATCTCTCCTTTCAATATCAATACAATGTCAAGTAGGTGGGTGATGAGAATTAAGAAAATCATCAACTGGGGGATATTTTTGTGATGTATTGCCCAATTCTCCGGAGTAACATTGAAAGAGAAGTATGACTTTAAGTTAGGAGAATTGATATTTTGAGGATTAAACTAAAGTTGTTAGGGATTTTAGAAGAAATATTTAATATTAATTTAATACTTGGATATGAGATGGTAGATAACCAATGAGGCACATGGCGCTAAGTTGGCAATAATCAACTCATATCCAACAAGCGCGAGTGCAATAATTGTTTTATCTAAAATGCCTTCAAAATATGTATGGGTTATTGACCAAGCGTGAGGTCAAGATGGCTGGATATTGGCCAAGTTCTTTTTTCGCGAGTTTATGGACCGAGACGGAGTCGTGGTCCATAAACTCGCAAAAAAAGAATGAGGCCAATATCAAGCCATCTTGACCGAACAAGCTTGGTCAATAAAGGATTTATTATAAGGCTTTCACGGAAAATTTTCTTGCGAGTCACGGCGGGTAGTCCCGAGCGAGCAAGATAGCTCCATCTTGCCCGCTCGGGTAGCCAATCACAGCGCAGGATTTGATTCATCGTGCCCGCTCACGGAGCTAGCCAAATAATAATTGACATTATTGCATCCAGCCTTCCCATCATGTGCCACTCATATGCCGCATTGATTGTGATGGTCACTGTATTTTCTATGGTATGGTATAAAATAGTTATGCAACGCTCTCTCGTGGTATACCATGGAATATGTATCCCACTTGTCATATGTATTTTCTCGGTATACACACTCACCCAAAGGCTCATGTGTAAACCAACAAAATTCAAGTGAATGGTGCGATATTCCTTGGTACACCACTAAAAAGCGTTGCATAACTAGTATATACTTGATTTCATTTGCAGTCCCACGGCCATTGTGTGTGTAACCCTGGCTTCATAGGAGAGTCTTGTTCTCTTTCTACACTGACTGATTCCAAATCCAATAACTGGTTCACAATTTCATCGACATCATCTGTTTTTAGCCCCAGAACAGCACATTCAGTTGTTTATGTTGAGAAAAGTGATACATTACTTGCATTTGGAGGTATGTACATTGTTTGGTTTTGGAAAAAAAACATTGATAACACTTTTGAGATTCTTGGAAGACATGTTTTGACAGTCTCCACTGTCAAAATGTGTATTGCAGATTTAGAATATAAATTAGAACCATATCACATATAGATATAGATACACAACGTAAACAACATAAAAGATACATTTAGTAAACTGTGCTAGCAAAAGGCATTTTCTCATTTATACCGATAGTTTTTGATACAAATTATAATTCATACATGTAGGTGGTAAAAAATGTTAGTAAATATTTTACTAGTCACAAGTGTTAGTTTTTATTGCCCAATTAAATTGAACATCACATTCAAGTTGTTTTGTGCGTATTAATTCAATCAGCAGAAATCTTGTTGGTATTTCTTGATTTAATCGTACATCGGAAGTAAGATCTGCTGTCTCTTTCGGCAATGTGCAGATTTAAAACAATTTCAACAAGTTTTCTGGTAATCAGCACGAGCAAAATATGTGAATGGTGATGTGCTTTGTAAATTGTGCCTTATTATAAGGGAGTAGCCTTTTCACAGAGAGATACTGTTAAGTAATATCTGTTCCATGAACGTTTAATTACTAACAGTGATTCCAGTGACAGTAATTAATGTATGGATTTCTTTTTGTAACAGACAGGCTATCATGATTTTTAGCAGAACTTTGAAGAACAAATTCTTACGAAATCTCTCATGGTAACTTTGTTACTCGCCATGTCTGTTTCAGGTTACTCTTTAAATAAAGTGTTGGATGATTTGCTGCAGTTTGATTTTACTACTAGTCTGTGGAGTGAGGTTCATGCCGGATCTCCTAAACCTGTGAGTCACTCAACTTTATCACGTTGGTGATTGAAATATCACTTCTCTATAATTCTGATTTATGTACACTTCTTTTAAGTTAGTTAAAATATGAGAATAATTGGTGGTGTATCAAAACAATATTTGCTACTTCATAATTCTTAAAAAGTTACAGTTCTGTAGTTATTCTCAGTACTTGCCTGTTCAAAAGTGTAGTATGTAGACAATGCTGTGAATGGAAATATAATGTTTATGGTTCTTGAGAATTAATTGAAAAGCTCTAAAAACAGCAATATCTAAATTTCATAGTTGCTTGTAAATCCTGCAATTTGCAACTTCTCTTTAGAAGTAATGATCTGCTCTGAAGATGGCAACCTCAAATGTACATTTCCATCTGTATATTAGTAATAAAAGAAAATCTCCAATGATCTCAATCCAACGACTTAGATAAAAAGAACTTATTACGTTATTAATAATAACAAAGATATATATATTATTAATAATTATGTGAAAGACAAGTATTTGCATATCTACAGTCTGTCTAGGTATTTATTACAATAAGTGTTTTTCATTTGGGATAATAGTTTGAAGTAATCTGTCTGCAGGTATCTTTGCAGTCTAGAGGTAATTTATCTTCCCTCTCAGTCTGTAGTTACTAGTAGATAGTATTCTACCCAGAAGCAGTGAGTGTCTAAAAGGTTTTGAATCTCAAATTACAATGCAGTGACTGGTGTCTCTTTTAGGAATATGACATAAAGGCTGCTGCTTCGGGGCTTGAAGCAGAACAATTTTACATTATCTTTTTTCTTTCAGGTTGGGCGTTTTTCTCATACTGCAAACCTGTATCTTGATGCCATGGTGGTGTTTGGCGGAGAATTACAGGATGGCAACCTCAGCAATGGTCTTTGGCTCTATAACTTAACTCTCAACAAATGGACAGAGCTTGCTGTAAATGATATTGTTAAACCACCTCCTCTTGCTGAACACAGCGCCACTGTGGTGGACGATATACTTTATATTTTTGGTGGTGAGTTTCAAGTTATATGTACCTTCAGATTATGAATCTTGAATGATGAATTTTTTTCAGAAGGAATTATTAAAAGCCAGATCTACATGTATGCATATGTAAGGAGAATGAGAGTTGACAAAAGTTTGGCTTTTTGAATCGTACTTGCCAGTGATCAAAATCAAAGATGCTGACTGAATGCTCAGTTTAGGTTAAAATAACAATTTGCGGATCCAGGGTTGTCAAACGTTTTGAAGTTGGCAGGTGTATTGTTGGAGTAAGTGGCTGATTTTGCCCATTTTTAAAGAATCAGACAAAAAGCCCAGTAGAGATTGTTAGCTGAGATTGTTAAGTTATTTATCAAACATGAAAGAGTGTAGTGATAAGTTAATAAAGATGGTGAATTTTAAGCTCGGTAATGAAATGTGAAGGTGAATTAATCAGCATGACACGAGCGTGGGACAAAGAAAAATTCTGAGTCCCCGACCTCCCGAACACCGGCGGGCGCTCTATCCACTGAGCTACGA